AAAAGTATGAATATATATCCAGCATATGTCATACTACAGTTGGTGGCGTACGTACGTACGTTACTACTACAATATCCAATTGTCTTGTTAGTTCATGTGAATGGGATGTCAAATGGGAGTCTACATTAGGGAGCGATCACTTTCCAGTGAGTACAATAATTAATGACAGTATAAACAGGCAAAAAGATTTTATTTTAACAAAATGGTGTTTTAATAAAGCTAACTGGCAAAAAATTAAAACAAACTGTGAGGAAACCAGACACATGGTAACATTAAAAGGCAACATTGAAGAATGTACAAGTCAAATAACAGAACATATTTTAAATGCTGCAAATTCTAGCATACCAAAAATAAAAATAAAAGGTAAGAAAAAAAGTAGTTCCTTGGTGGAATGATGAATGTACTACAGCAGTTAAAGAACGTAACAAGGCATTTAAAATATTACAGAAAAATTTAACAACGGAAAATCTTATTGAATATAAAAGGAAAAGAGCAATAGCTCGTAAAACTATTAAGGACGCAAAAAAGAAAACATGGAGAGAATATTGTTCTTCAATAGGTTCAGAAATAAAATTACAAAATGTTTGGTCAATGTTTAGGAAAATGACTGGAAAAAGGAATGATGTTAAAATACCAACCTTAATCAGAGGTCAGGAGATATTAGTTTTAAATAAAGATAAGGCAGATTTATTAGGTGAGACATTTGCTGCAGTTCTTAGTGGCGAACATCTTACAGACATTCATAGACAGCAGAAGACTCAAAAACTTGGAAAGCATAAAAATATTTTGGAGAAATATAAAAAATATATGACAACATTAGACATGGAAATAACCATGAAAGAACTTAAAACAGTATTGAAAGGGACAGGTTATTCAGCTCCAGGGGAGGATCAATTATGCTATGCTATGTTTCGACAGATTCCGGAAGTAACATTGAAATTAATATTAAAATTGTTTAATAAAATATGGAAAGAAGGTTTAATACCAAATAACTGGAAAAGGGCAACAATACTGCCGTTCAATAAACCAGGAAAAGATCCTATCAGTCCGAATAATTATAGACCAATAGCTTTAACATCTCATTTAAGTAAATGGATGGCGAAAATAATGGTCAATAGATTAGGATATGTTCTTGAGCATAGGAAACTACTTAATGGATATCAGTGTGGCTTTAGAACAGGGAGATCAACAATGGATGCACTAACTAGAATCAGTAATGACATAGAGAAAGCTTTAAAAATGAAGGAAATAATGATCATAATATTTTTTGATATAGAAAAAGCATATGATTCATTATGGAGAGAAGGATTACTTATAAAAATTAAGCAGATGGGAATAGGTGGGAAAATGTATAATTGGATAGCAAATTTCCTGATGGATAGAAAAATTAGAGTGAAGATTAGGAATGATTATTCAAAATAATTTAATGTGGAAAATGGAATTCCTCAAGGTAGTGCAATCAGTCCAATTTTATTTAATATTATGATTAATGATATCTTTTCTGATAATGATAAATATAAAATCTGCACTATATGCAGATGATGGGGCCATATGGATGAGGGGCAAGAATATAAAACATGTCGTAGGAAAAATTAAGAAAGCAATTAGTAAAGTAGAAAAATGGTCTTATGAATGGGGTTTTAAATTATTAGCAAGCAAGCAATGTAGAGGTCTTGGAGAAACTAAACAGCCTCTTCACAGACGCATGACTCAACACAGGAGAGCCACCTCCTCTGGACAAAATTCCGCAGTTCACCTCCACCTCACAGATAAGGGACACTCTTTTGAGGACCAAAATGTGCACATTTTGGACCGAGAACACAGATGGTTTGAGAGGGGGGTGAAGGAAGCAATTTATGTAAAAAGAGAAAAGCAGTCTCTTAACAGAGGAGGAGGCCTCAGATTCCCACTTTCAAAAACATATAATGCAACTTTAAAACAGATTCCCAGCCGTTTTTCACACCTGATGGGAACAGGGGGGCCTCGACTGTGAATTAGAGGAACAAAGACCTACTGTTTAGGTTTTTAGGTGTGAACTGCCAATCTACATATATGTGTTTGTGTGTGTCTTATATGTGTGTGTGTGTGTGTGTGTCTTATCTCACTCAGCCTTATAACCTGTATCTCTCACTCTCTGCTCTTTGAATTGAGAAAGCTCCTCGGATGAGGAGCGAAACGTCTTCTGTTACAAATAAAGTCCAGTTGTTTTTGTATTGAACGCTTTTTGAATTCATCATGTCCTGGATGACTGAGAATCTTCACCAAGAAATAATAATGTTCAGATTAAGAGTAGGTCATACCTATTTAAATGATAATTTATATTTAATAGGGAGAAAATAGAATGATAAATGTGAAGGGTGTGGAGAGAAAGAAAATGTAGAGCACATATTGATGAACTGTAAAACATATGAACCTGAAAGGGAGAAACTGAGAAGAATGGTTAGAAGGACAGGTCAAGAATGGAGTCTTAAAGGAATATTGGGAACTGAAGGAAACATAATGGTTATTTACAGAATAAGAAAAGCATTATTTACTTTTCTGCAAAATACTAAGTTAAAAAATAGAATTTAATAGATGTGAAGTAGTGTTGCTACACACTCGTGTACAGTAGGTGGCGGTATGCACCTTAAAGTTGCTTGCGATCCGCCATAATAGCAAAGAAGAAGAATACTCAGTGCCAGATTATTGAAAGCCTCACAGTGAGTAAATGTCCAGCATTCATGCCATAGTCTCGTTTGTCTTCCTGGTTTTGACCTCACGCCTGCCCCACGGATTCCTCGCCTTGCTCTGTCTTGTCTGTCTGTCTTGTCTGTCTGTCCTGTCTTGTCTGTCTGTCTTGTCTGTCTGTCCTGTCTTGTCTGTCCTGTCTTGTATGTCCTGTCTTGTCTGTCCTGTCTTGTCTGTCCTGTCTGTCTTGGATTATCTGTTCTGTTTATGGAAATGACCTCGGCTTCCTCTATAACTACCACGATTTTTGGATCTCGTCTCAAGTTAGTCTTGGGATCTCTGACCACCCGTGTATTGACCTTGTCTGTTTCTCTGAACCTGCCATTTGGATTTCTCCCCTTTGCCGCTCACTACTCAACTCTGTCTCAAAACCGGCTCATCTTCACCACCGGTGAAGTCACCAGAACCAACTCCAAGGAACCGCTCCCTCATCTGTCTGTGAAGGTTGGTGACTGTCATCAGAACAATCTGAGAATTATTGAACTCCTGTTCGTTAACTTTGCTATCTCTTCAGATTGTGCCGGCCCAAGGACTAAGACCTCCACCAGAAGCAGTTTATTAATAAATCTTTTAACCCTTCCTGCTGTCTGTGATCTAGTTCAAATCCCTAAACCCGGTTCTTGTCATCATGAAGTTCAACACAAGTCGAACGAAGAAATGTATAAAAAAAAAAATTTAAAAAAATGAATGCAAGTAAGGTAGAATATCCAAATTGACGGATTAAGATTAAGACAGATTTACCAGATGAACATTTTAATCGGCCAATATTGGCCACTGCTTTACAATCGGCATCATCAAGTCTTTGCAACCTGATCAGTTACAAAGAAAATGCAGAGGCTACAACCAGTCTAGTTTGATGCAGTCCAGTAATGTCACAGAAGTTGTCGTCCATTATACAGAGGCTCTTAGGACCAACGTTGTTTTAGAGCATATTATACAAAATGAGGCCTAAGAGTAACTATGGGTCAGTCGGTAATTTTTAGATATCTCAGAACATAGTGTAATTGTTTTTTTTATTTATTTATTTATTTATTTTTTTTATAAAGAGTGTGATAGGGCTGAGTGTTCATGGAACAATTTTATTGTTTAATAATGTGGTGGTGATATAAATTGTGTTGAACCCAAGTTTTCATCACTTCTAACTTTTTCTTACATGGTCACTGTCATGTAACTCCAGTGTATGTATTAAGGCCAGTGAGAGTCTGCTGGAATAACTGAAATATTATTGGTATGCAAAACATGGATGTTACTTGAAATATAATCTGTGATTTATTGTAATGCAACTAGTCCTTTGCAATATTGAGGTTTACGTTCACTGACATTGCAATGACGATAAAGTAAATGTTATATTTGGATTTGATATGCCATCCAAAGATTATAAAAGTACAGTTCAATATTTGAGCCTTCATGAGTCAGGACAAAATATTAAAAAGTAAATAAGGTACTCTACAATGGTTAAATAATTTTGTCTAATTGTGGGCAGGCTGCAATCAGCAGCCATGAATTAAATTCCGTGGGCAGGCTGCAATCAGCAGCCATGAATTAAATTCCCTGAAAATGTAAATAAACCTGTCTAAAACTGTGGAACACCAAAATGGTCAATTAAATAAAACCTTATGAAATAAGTTTCTAAGCACATTGTGAACATTTTTCATTTTCCTTTGAAAATGTGCTTATTAAACATTTTATTTCATAATGGTGTTTTTCATTATGGCTTATTTCATGATTATAAATGATCATAAATAATTATCAGGTCTTTCTTGAAAATGAGCCCGAGGCTCAATGGGATTAACCTGTATAAATAATTATTGAATAATGGGAGTTTTTCATGATGGCTTATTTCTAAATGAAATATTTTAATAATGATCTTGGATACTTATTTCATAATGTTTTAATTTTGATCATTTTGATGTTCCATATAAACAAGCAATGAGTTTGGGTGAAGTTTTCCTCTTTGTTCTGGAAGTTTCAGTGGGTGGAGTACACAACTCATCTGAACTCTCTCCCGGAGGTGATTGCTGATTTTTACACCCTACCTGGCAACCACAAACGGCGTTCAGGGGGCGGAGCTAGTCAGTCAGTCAGCTTCTGTCCGTTTCTGGAAGGAACCGCATGCGTGCAACATGGAGAAAGTAAGTACCGTGCAAGTTCTGGTGTGCTTATTATGGATTATTGTTATTTTATCTCACGCAAGAAGTAAAGATTGTATCTCTGCTAGCTATAAATTAAAGTAGACACTAACAGAATGTTGTACGTTGACCACGCTAACCTGCTTTTTACACAGACCACTGTTTCTTAGCTTGTTAGCTTAGCGTCATGTAATGACTAGCCATTGGCATTGATTTAGCCGAGTTTGCTTTAAGGTACGACACGAAACATGTTGGTCACACTTTGAAATGCAGCTAAACTACGATTTAAAATTAATCGGACTGTCTTGTAGAGTGTCAGGTCAGTTGCAGCTAACTAACGACAAAGTAGTTTCTCCAACTGTTAACTGAAGCTAATGTCCCGAATCACGGCTATTTTTAGGCGTTTAGAGTAAAGTTTGACTCCTGTTGTTGCTACAACCGGAACATTTAAAATAAAATTTGGCTTATAATGACATGTTAGCAAAGCGGTGTTCTAGCACCCTGCACATTATCAGTGAAGTGCTTGAAGTAACTCGATTTTGCAAATCTGTGCGTAACAACCCAGTTAATCTCATAGCCGCTGGGATGTGGACTTTAAAGTTACTCTTACGTTCTTTTGTGTAATAAAAAGTGACAGACCTGTCAGAAAACTCAATTTTGTGCGTTAAAACGGCTGCTGGGCTACGTTTGGCCCTTGTTTAGCCCTCAGACCGGAGGATCTTTCTAGATGCACCACCGTCATAGCTCCTGCCGCAAGTCGTCGGAAACTGTCGCGACTTCTCGAAGTTTCCAGTTAGAGATTTAAGAGTTAAGATTTGTTTGTGCTGACATTTATTGAAGAACCGAAATTGTTTGTTTTTTTACAGATGAAAACATAAAAGTTGTGCTTGTCACAAGTTAAAGGTTTTATATAAATTTGAGAAATTTTCATATTTTTGTTCAGGTTTTGACCATGTCGAGAAACATTTTGCATCTCAGCCTATATTTTACACCACCAGCTGTGTGTCATGATTTATTTTACTAGGATCTTGCAGCACACATTATGACATCTGTGGTGCTTATGTTACCAGCTCTTTTGAGATCAACTGTTTTGCAGTCTTCATTTCTCATTGGCACTTGTAATAATTTATTAATTAATACTTTTAAAACTGCTAATGTTTGTGGCATGGAGTCAGTTAAAACCAACATACAACTTAAAGTTTTACATATGCGGTGGTACCAAGTGGTTCTCATTAAAATTATGTGATTTACAAGGCACACCGGTTTGTAGATCTTAAAAATACTTGACATCCGAGACAGGCTTGCAAATTTAGAAAAGTTTATTTATTTACATTTTTATAAATACTCTTTAAAATTCTTTGAAAAAAAGAAGGAAGAAAACAAAACAAAATCCTGGAGCTGAGGTTACCGGATGAAGGCCACCAAACCAGCACAGCCCCGGACCCCAGCAACTGGAAAACAAAACAAAATTAATACAGGGAAACCAAACCAAGTCTAATCAAAAAGAAAGTGAAAAACAAAGGCCAGCCCAACTAAATATCGACATTATACAATACAATTTACAAAGTAAAGGGCTGTAACCAAACAAAATAAGGAAAACTATTTAAAGAAGAGAACTTTAACAATCAAATGCTCATTTTAAAAGTTGTAGTCCAGAACCAGGTGTGAAATTACCCACGCCACTGACGTGAGTGCTCAGGGACCGCGCCCCAAACAATTTGTGGTGGAGAAGTCCAGTGAAGCAGCCACAGGCGTCTGAGGACAATTAAGTGCAACAATCTGGAGAACCCAAACAGCAGTGGTCCTTCACAGAGCCAGAACACCGGTAATCTTCCACAGGGACAACAGTTGTAACCTCAGTGGAGACAAAACAGTAATCTTCCATAGCGACAAAGCAGCAGTGATTTTCCGTAGAGACAAAGCAGCAGTGGTCCCAACCTCAGCAAAGGACCTGCTGACACACACATGCAGACATGCACAGGAGGAGGAGGAGGAAAGCAGCAAGTTTGGTGTTCCCACAAAGGCCATAACAGCACGCACAACACGATCAGCTGCTCAGCCACAACCAAACCCCACACGGGTTGAGAGCCACATAGTGGGAGCATGAAGAGGAAACCCAAGTGTCAGAACTTCTTCTTCCTCTAATTTATTGGCGGATTGCAAGCAACTATTAGGTGCATGCCGCCACCAAGTGTCAGAACAGGCATTGCTGCCTCTTTTTATACTCCGCCCACTTATCTAACGGGAAGTGACATTTCCCTAGCCGGGTACATTTCTATACTGCTACACACATTTTGAAGATAAATACTTTGGGAATGATCAGTTTAGTTTAGGAACAGTAGGGATTTAAAAATTTTTTTTTTTTTTACAAAAATACCATAAAAAACTCAGCGATATTTTCCTTTATAACTAAACAGTTGTTGATGTGTACATTTCCAGTTTATAATCAAATAATTGTAAATATTGCAGTAAAGATGACAAAAATAATAAAATGTTTTAACAAATATTATTATTTAATCAGTACCCTTAAAAGTTTTTATAAATTCATTTTTTTTGTTCTAATCCTGAAAATTGAAAAGTATAGACTTTTTAAAAATTTATATTTTCTCTTGCATGTCTAAAATTGTTAATGACATTTTTCAATATTCATGTTGTCAAATCAAAGTTCTTAATTGTTTAGTAGTTTATGACAAAAACAATTTTTTATGGTTTGCATGCTGGTAACTGAGGGAAAACTTTGTTGATCAGTACTTGTTCACCATAACTTATTAATCAGCGTCTGTTATTTTGTAGATGTCAAATTAAGACTTCAAACTCAAAGGAGTTTTTAAATAAACAGTCTTTTATAGTCAGTAATTAGTATTTTCATCATACTGTTAAAACAGTACGAGTTATTAAAGCAAACTACAAATGTGTGTATAATGTACACAAGTGGTGTTGTTTTTTTACATTCCCATAAGCTCTTTGCTGCTGTTTATAATCACTAACATGCTTGTTACATTTCAGTCATTTTTTAAACTTCGTTACAGCTTTTAAAGATTTTAGCATTTAAAGTACATTTAAAATTTGGATTGACAGTGTTTGTTTCAGACCTAATAAAGATTGCACCTGGATAATATGCTAAAGTAAAAAAAAAAAAGTCTAATATTTTCCATCCTCTGTGCTTTTGCATCTGTCTGACAGAGAACAGCTGTCAGTTTTTATTTTCTACCTGTTAAAGTAGAGTCATATTAAGGTTTCTGTACACCTGAGCTGTTGGTGTTGTAAACATGGCTTGCGTGTGTTGTAGGTTTCAGCATTGAAGGACCAGGGCAACAAGGCTCTGAGTGCAGGAAATATCGACGAAGCTGTACGTTGCTACAGCGAAGCCCTGACAATTGATCCATCAAACCATGTGCTGTTCAGTAACCGCTCGGCTGCCTACGCCAAAAAGGGCAACTATGAGAAAGCCCTCCAGGACGCCTGTCAGACCATCAAGATCAAGCCTGACTGGGGAAAGGTGAGACGTTGTTTGCGCTGTCAGTGTTCTGTCAAGATCATTTGGAATGAAAACTGTACTTGAGATCTTAAACTTTGCTCTCTTAGGGGTATTCTCGCAAAGCTGCAGCGTTGGAATTTCTTGGCCGGTTGGAGGATGCTAAAACGACATACCAGGAGGGACTCCGCCAAGAGCCGAGCAATCAGCAGTTGAAGGAGGGCTTACAGAACATCGAGGCCAAGATCGCAGGTGAGCGTTTCGATGCCTCTTTGATTTGTAAGGGTTACTTTAGGACAACTTGGAGGGTGCGTTCTTGGTGTGCATGCTCGGCTCTCGTTTGTGATTGCTAATGTAAAATAACTCATCCTTTACCAGAGAAAACGATGATGAACCCCTTCGCCATGCCCAACCTGTATCAGAAGCTCGAGAACGATCCTCGGACTCGGGAGCTCTTGTCAGATCCAAGCTACAAAGAACTGCTGGAGCAGCTCCGCAACAAACCGTCAGAGCTTGGCGCGTATGTGCACTTTTCTTTTTTGAGTTTAAACATCTAAAACAAAAACCCTGAAATGTGAATTATGTTAAAAGTAGAGTTATACTTTTGAAGTTTCTGGATTGCTCATCTGTCCACACAGATTTAAAATGCAACCAGTGAAAATAAAAAAATACAGTTTTGTGTCATAGAATTGTAATTCCCAAAAAGACTGGTATTTATAATTTCACTTGTCAATCATGTTGTAGGAAGCTGCAGGATCCAAGAGTGATGACTACCCTCTCTGTGCTGCTGGGGCTGAACCTTTCTGAAATGGAGGAGGAAGAGGAGCCCACACCTCCTCCTCCTCCCAAACCCAAAGAAACTCCACCACCTCCTCCCAAAGAGGAAGACCTCCCTGACAACAAGAGAATGGTAAGTTAGTTAAACATTTTTTTTTAAGTCGTCCCCCCCCCCCCCCCCCCCCCCATCTCCTGATGAGTTTCTGTTCTGAACAAGGTTCTCCGTTTTTAAACAGGCTTTGAAAGAAAAAGAATTGGGGAACGCTGCGTACAAGAATAAAGACTTTGACTCGGCCCTGAAACATTATGAAGAAGCGATGAAGCATGACCCCACCAACATGACATATTTATCTAATCAAGCAGGTTTGTATCTTAAATAAGAAAATAAAACAAGCTCACACATTTAATTTAGCTGCTAGATTTCCTGACACCATGGTTGTAATAAAAAAACAGAAAAGTTTCCTGCCACTAAAATAATGTTACTTTTAAAAATGTAAATTATTTTAGGCCTGAATTAATGCGGGCTGTTTAGTAGATTCTTCAACAAGGTTAAATTTACAAGGAAAAAAATATATACTTGTGTCTAGAAGTGGTAAAATAAGTTTTAATTTCTCCTAAGTGTTAATTATGTTTTTTTTTTTTTCCAGCTGTCTATTTTGAAAAGGGAGACTATGAGAAGTGCAGAGAGCTGTGTGAGAAAGCCATTGATGTTGGCCGAGAAAACCGAGAAGATTATAGACAAATAGCAAAGTAAGTTTCTACAGCTGTTTCTAACAAACGGCATCATGAACTGTTTGAGCCAGAAATGTCATATTTAGACACGACGTTATAAAATACCCAGATACTAGGAAAATTGGTCAAACACTAAAAGGAATCAGTTTTTTAATATATTGGTATATATATTTTTGTTTTGTTTTTACAGAAGTACTTTCAGAAGTAGCAAACCATACTAGATGTGAATCTATGTAATAAAGTATAAATAATAATGTTGTTTTTAATGGAAAAGATCCTTAAATTTCTAATAATTGGAAGAAAAAAAAACCTGCAAATAATGGAACTTGATAAAAACAACATAAAAGTAAGAAGGTGGCACTCCACTCTGAGCAGTCACTGAATCGATCTGCATGTCCTTCATTTATATGTTAATTTATCTAAAGTTGTGCGCGTCACTGATTTGAGTGAAAGTGGCTGCAGAGATCTCTAAATACCGTATTTTCCACCGTACACGTCACACCTCCCTATAAGTCACATCAGTCCAAATATGTCAGTGGAAAAATCCATAAATATGTCACTTCTTCGTATACATTGCATCTATTATGCGTCACTGCTGAAACGCTGCATTTGTTACGCGTCATCGCTGACAACTAGGAATGCGCGACGTATACGGTAGAAACGATAGAAGTTTAGCCTACGATAGAGATCTGTCTTCTACCAGCTAACCGCAGTAATGCTGTGTCTCATGTAAAATCAGAGTTATCAGTTTAATCGTTACTTTTTTTAGTTGAAAAATATGCGCAAGTGGTGTTAGTCTTTTTTCGAGAGCTACGTAGAAAGCTACAAGCTAACTACGGCCGGCTTGCCGTAGTGTTGCCGTATTCTGGCGCATGCACAAAATGCTGTGTTCCGTCGAAAATTATTTTATTTTTTTCTCAATCGAAAGTTAAAGTAAGCGTTGGTCAGCTTTAGAGAAACCTGCTCTCTGATCTGTGAAAAGAACGCTGTGTTGTGTGATTTTACTGCGAGACCCTCTGGTCAAAGCCACAGACTCATTTTGTGTCAGCTCTCCATTACAGTGGAAGGAGACGCCAACTAGAGGTTTGGAGGGTGAAGTGTTTCAGTGTAAAATGCTGCTCTGTTGCTGTTCATTTCTAAAGACTGGAAACAAAGGGTTAATAACATATTTTTTTTGTTTAAAACATATGGCTAAAACTACATTTGATATCTTTTGCACTGTTTTGCACTACAAGAAAGAAGCCTAATACTTGATTTGTTTATTATTTAAAAACTCTCTGGACCTAGTAGTAAAATTTTCTTAATTCAAAATAAATGACTGCAAAAAGACACCCTATGCCTTTTTTCATTCCTATTGAAAGTTTTATACCAGAGACATGTGATATGTATCGTTACCGCCACCCTTCACAATACATATCGTGATATGAATTTTATGCCATATCGCACATTCCTACTGACAACCCAGAAAGTGGGCCGAACCCAGAAATGTGGACTGGTGTGCCAAAAATCGAAATGAAGTTTGACGGTCGTTCCAAGCAGCAAGCAGAACGAAGGAGGCAGAGTATGGCAAGCCGATTGTGTCATTAAAAGCTGGTGAAGATTCTCAGTCAACCAGGACATGGCAATTTCAAAAAAGGTCTAGACAAAAACAATATAAAGTATAATAAATAAAGTCTAGTTGTTTTTGTCTTGAACTTTTTTTGAATTTGTTATGATAGCCATGTTTACCTATTACATGATACAACGGCATGCCTTTCTACTCAAGTGCCATCTAGCGGCTGAAAATGGTTTTCAATATTTTCAGACAGAATGAATGAAAGCAGTCGTATCTCAGCCAAAAATTGATTTATAATTATGGGGAAAAAATCCATAAATATGTCACTTCGGCCTATAAGTCGCAGGGCATGCAAATTATGCAAAAAAACGCGATGTATACAGCAGAAAATACGGTACTGCTCTTTAAAGCAACTTGTTGATTATTGCTTCTCCTCTTGTTTGCAGGGCCCTGGCTCGTATTGGTAACTCCTACTTCAAGCAAGAAAAATACAAAGAAGCAGTTCAGTTCTTTAACAAGAGTTTGACAGAACACCGGACTCCTGACGTGTTGAAGAAATGTCAACAGGTGCGTTTTTAACAAATAAACTCACTTTACAGTTGAAAACCCGTTTCTCAAAAATAACAGCGTCGTACCTATTTTTAACTTTATTCCATCTTTGTTCTTTGCAGGCAGAGAAAGTACTAAAGGAGCAAGAAAAACTAGCCTACATCAACCCTGATCTGGCCCTTGAAGAGAAGAACAAGGGCAATGATGCCTTCCAGAAAGGTTAGTGAGCCTGTTTGCTGCTTTTTGTTGGTCATCGTGTAAAGAACTTGCATAAAGATGACTTTCTCTCTGTTCCATGTTATAGGAGACTACCCCTTAGCTATGAAACATTACACTGAGGCCATCAAGAGAAACCCTAATGATGCCAAGCTCTACAGTAACAGAGCTGCGTGCTACACGAAGCTGCTGGAGTTCCAGCTTGCCCTGAAGGTACAAAACGCACCTCTGAGCAGTCTGAGTCAAATTAACATTTGGATATTGTGAAATTTTTATACATTAAATTGTTTTTCTGTCAGGATTGTGAAGAGTGCATCACACTTGAACCTACATTCAGTAAGTATTTTCTGGAAACAACTAAACGTATTTTAAAAATAATTTTAAATTTTACAACAAATAAAATGCATTTGTTTACAGTAAAGGGCTACACACGTAAAGGAGCTGCACTGGAGGCCATGAAAGATTATTCGAAAGCTATGGATGTCTACCAGAAAGCTCTCGAGTTGGATTCTTCCTCAAAGGTATGACAAAATATGTGAGGAAATTATCATTCAGGTTAAATGTCAAAAAGTGCACTTTCTTTCTGCTATCGTTGGGTCATATATTAGGACATAAAACAGTCTGGTCAACTAAAAAAATGTTGCATATGGAGAAAAAACAACATGACGTTACATTACCGTATTTTTCGGACTATAAGGTGCACTTAAAATCCTTTAAGCTTCTCAAAAATCAACAGTGAGCCTTATAATCTAGTGCACCTCATGTATTAATTCTGGTTGAGCTTACTGACCTCATACCAATTTTATGTGGTACACAGCACTTAAAATCTGTCAGAATGAACTTATTTCGCTTAATGTGCCTTATAATCCGAAAAATACAGTAATCTATTTAAAGAAAATTAACTTTGTCAGGGTAAGTTCACCATTACTGTTTAAACAGGAATAAACGAGCAAAGTGGCAGCTGGACACAGCTAACTGTTTACACATTAACGTGTTAACTGGGAGTGAGACCACGCCTTTAAAAGAAGTATTTTGTCCACAATATTGATCCAAGTCCTTTTAAGATTATTTATATGTATATGTATACATATTAGATTATGTATCGACCAATACAGCCTCTCAATCCCATACCTGAATTATTTATCTTTCTATACAGCTCATACCTTCAGATTACAAACTAAAAGGTATTTTAAATGTACATTACAGTGTTTCCCCTAGTTAACTTGCCATGGTGTCAGTTCTGTTGACGGGGTGGGGCACCCTGCTTGCATAATGGTAGGGGAAACGCTGCATTAAAAGCATTGCTATATGCAAAACACCTCAGTAGCTCTGCCATGCTGCAAAAACATGTTTTTTTGTGTTTGTAAGGAAAACGAATGTCAAGTGAACGTTTTTAATACAGCTGTGTTCTGTGGTGGTGGGAGGGCAGGATGTACCGTGGCCAAGGATGTGATTTCTTTAGCTGTGGACAGTGTCTCTGCATCTTTACCTATTTATCCTACAAGAAGTTCCATCATGAACTCTGTGATTCCTGCTACAGTTATTGCTTCTGATGGACCCATGTTTCATTCTGAACAATATTGGAAGATTAGCAAACAATATAGGTTGTCTGTACCTCATCTGTGTTATTTTGTTTAAAACGGGTCTCTCTTGTAAATGAGTCGTCGTGTCTCAATGAGACTAACCTGTATAAATAAAGGTGGAATTGAATATAATTGGGTTACATTTTAACCAAATGTAGTTTTGACCATCGTCTGATGTCTCAACCCGCAGGAAGCGTCAGAAGGCATGCAGCGGTGCATGGTCAGTCAAACCATGAGGAACGACAGCCCCGAGGAGGTGAAGAAAAGAGCTATGGCTGATCCCGAGGTGCAGCAGATTATGTCCGACCCAGCCATGCGCATGATCCTGGAGCAAATGCAGAAGGACCCTCAGGCACTAAGCGAGTAAGTCTGCAGACTTTCTACATTATGGTCCAGGTTTGAAACTGATGCTGATTAAAATGTTTCCTGTTGAATTCACAGCCACCTTAAGAATCCAGTTATTGCTCAGAAGATACAGAAGCTCATTGACGTTGGACTGATAGCCATCCGCTGATATGGAACCAGTTCAAGAAGAGTGGAGTCACATGCAGATCGCCCTGAAATATTACATCTCTTTTCTTGCCTTTAAATTGAAAGTTATATTGTCCTGGATCTGACTGGGACTTTGTCTGTTTTTTTTATTATTGTTCACAACTTTGACATTGTGTTGGAAGAAAAAGAAGTATCTTGTTTGTCCTCTGAAAAATGTGGGCACTCCAGGCAGCTTCCAACAGAGTTCACGTGTAAAGATGCTGTAGTAACATCTAGAAAATAAACCTCACACGAGTGTACACCACTGCACTCAGTGTCTGAAGATGAACATCCACCCTAAAGTTGATCTTGTACTGTATTCTTGTTTCGTGCTTAAAATAAATCAAATAGATTGTCTGGTGCCTAAAATGAGTTGTACTGGTGACGAGTTCAATTGCTGCAATTGTTTTTTTTTTTTTTTTTTAAGTTCACCAAAATCATAAAGCAGTTTTTTTTTTTTCCCCTTCTTGGCATTTTCTCTTTGATGGAAGTCTACAATTTAATTTGTAAAACATGCTTATTCTTAACAGTTTGAAGCAGCATCCACTGTTGCATTTCTTTTTGTGTGTGTGTGTATTTCAGCTCGACACAGTGACAACAGGAAACAGTGTTTTTGTATCGTAAATGTAATGGGGCACACGTGGAAAGTTTAGCCTTTCCCTCACCTGAGTTCTGCTCTGCAGAACGGGCTCTTCATGAAGAGATTAACCGGACGGTGGATTTGTGTAAACCAGCTCTGTTGGTTGTATTTCAACAGTAAACTGTTAATGTTGTGTTAGGTATCAGCATCTATGATCAGCACGGTCTGCTGTCTACAGCCAGTAAAACTAGGTTGATTAATGCAAACCTTTTCCAAGTTTGAGTCGTTGGTATAAGTTTCTATTTGGGTAGCTGCCTTAGCTTTGGTGTCCAGAAAGAAAAAGTACATTTTGTTCCATCAACCAGGATAGCTTAGGATACATTGAAGTCTGCTCTTGTCTGTGTTTGTGTAAAGGTTTCAAATTAGGAGTAGTTTATCTTTATTTGATTCCACAGACGAATGATTGTTTTACAGCTTTTTTTCTACAATGATTCACATCAAAAACTGGTGTGGGTGTTTTTCCCCTCACAATTGTTTTGCTATCAAGCAATGTTCAACTAATGTAAAGCAAGCTGTCCCAGGAGGTGTCATCTATTAATGGAAAACAGTTGTACTCTGAAATATAGATGATCTGTAAATCAAAGGATAGTGTTATTCTTTCCTATTTTAATTCAGCATAAGCCTGTTTTTCTATAAGCCTGTATCCAGTTAAAACTTATTTGCACATTTCCAACTATTAAGATGTTCATATACACTTGTATAAGCATAAAAACAATAGGTGTGCTATATTAAAGTGCAGGGACACTGGGTTTTGTTTAAAAAAAGATAAAACGCCATACCAATTATTTTATGGATTTATACTGCTTATAGTTACTTCGCAAAGGAAAGTTAATTTACAAGTTTCTGAGTGAAAATAGTTCATCTGCCGCCTTAGCTCCGCCTTACGAGCTAACAGTAAAATCGCCACGCCCACAAGTGTTGGTCACGTGACTGGTCACCGCCCATATAGATATAAACACTAGATCCCGCATTGACTGCTGCTACGCATGAATTTCAGCCGCCATCTTGGAGCGGTCGTCCTTATTTGGTTAAAGCAGAAGATGTCTGCATTTCGCAGCTTATTTCTGTTCAAATCGACGGACTGCTGACGTCATCTCTCGGGGGCTAACTTTTCATAAGTAAGATGAACATACTATTGTTAGTATTTTGTGAACAGAATATTACTATACTGTATTTATGTCCACCAGCTGATGTCATGTTCAGTGCAATACCAGGTGTTCAGTTGCAATGAAGCTGACTGAGATCTAATGACAGGAATATTTTTCTAACAAGCATACTCACAATTTCAGTAGCTTTGGTTCATTATCAACAGATATGCATCAGAACTGGAATTTTGTTTAAGTTCTAGGAAATTAAAACATTAAAAATGGGGAGAATATAGGAAGTAGTTAGAAAATAAGATTGACCTCCTTTGTACAATGTTTTTGTGTAGACACAAATCTCCTGTTTTCATTTTGAAGGTTTCCCAAAGAAAAAGATGTGAGGAAGAGGAGGATCTTTGAGGAGGATTCATCTGAGCAATGAGGATTTTGATCAAACTGATCAAACTGTCTGACTGAGAGATGGTGTGGTACCATCGGTTCACCTTCAAAGAGAAGGTGCATCATTATAAATCCATTAGAGTTCATAAATGTACATATTTTATTGTCAGTCACAAGGTGAGACACCTCCATGTGTTTATATGAACAGGTAACTATAGACTGTAAAGTTCATATTCATGATGCTTTTTCATTTCAGCTTGAAAACTGCAGGACTACAGGAACTCAACAAAAGCTGGAGCTGCTCTGTCTGTGGCCTCTCAGGAACGTGCACGTCACACACACACACACACACACACTCTCAGGAACGTGCATGTCACACACACAACCTCAGCCTAATGATGTGAGTATTTCTATTTTAAACTTTTATTTTTTCATTTACCCTTTATTTATACAGGTAGGCGCATTGAGTCATGAGAACTCCTTTTCAAGAGAGACCTGTTTAGGAGCAGATGGTGGGGGTTGAGGGCCTTGTAAAGGGGCCCAGAGTGGGGCCAATGAGGGTGGAGGCAGGTGGACCCACATTTTGATGTTGACGGTACCGGGAGTTGAACCTGTGACTTTCCAATCACAGACCCATCTTCTAACCTCTGCGCCACCACTCCCCCACATAACATCATATCATAATGGTCATGGTCGTATTAAAATCTCACTGGTTTCCTTCCAGATGTGTTAAACAGCTACTGGTCCCCCTGATGTTTCCAGGTGGCTGAGGTCAGTGGATGAAAAGCCTGGCATGAACAAGATGATGCTGGAGATCATCATTTGACGAGAGCTCCCACCTTCTAACTGTGAAGAACAAGAGCAGCTCAGTGATTCCCTCAAGGCTCAGTGAAGGTGCTGAGAGCTGCAGAGAGGCTGATCCATGGAGCTTCAACACAGCAACCTCCAAACATGTCCACCTTCACACACATCGTCCATGAAGACACTGGACCAGAGCAGCAGCACAAGATAAGACAGCGATAACAACGACAACAATAGACATTCACAAATGATTCATACAAATTTAAGTTTTTTGTTTGTTTTACAATTGAAAAACAGTTTGTTATCCACTGTTGTCATCAATCTTTGTTAAAATCCAGGTCTCTCTTGTAAAAGAGTCCTATTGGCTCAATGGGACTAACCTGTATCAATAAAGGTTGAATATATATGTGTGTGTGTGTACATGTGTGTGTGTGTATGTATATATATGTATATATATATATATATATATATATATATATATATAT